AATATTTCTTGTATATGTAGGATAGATGAGACACTCTGCTAGGTGCTCAGAAAGGTAACAGTAAAATAGACAAATAGATTAACCCATGGACAAGTGGATAAACAAATGAATACAGCAATCAGTCAACCTATGGATCATTTCATGAATGGAAAGATTGATGAGTAGAAGAACATTAATGAATGTATGGATATATTTACTTATCAATCAATAGATTAATTAATGAATGCTTAATTAAAAAATGTTTCTTGGAAAAATAAATCACATGAGTGGATTAATGGCCAGATTTATCGAGGAATAATTGAATGAATAAATTAGTGAGGGAATGAGTAAATAAAGGAACAAGTAGATGGACGGATTGAATGATCAATGAAGAAATCAAGGATGAAAAAATGAGTGAATTATTAAATGGATAAATGAAGGAATAGACGGATGAAGTATGAATTTAAAGACTGACTGATGGAAGGATTAAGGAGTGAGACCTAGCTCATAGAAGCACAAATAGATGCATGAATGAAGGAATGAGCCATTGAATCAATGACAAATAGTTCATTCAATTAATCACTGCTTCAAAGGATCAACAGGGGAATCAATTAATCCAAATAAAGGATGGAAGTGTATGTTTTTGGATAAATTATCAATAAAAGAATCTGAGGATACAGGTTAATTAATGACTAAAAGGACAGACTAATGAATGGATGGACGGACAGATGGATGGATGGATGGATGGATGGATGGATGGATGGATGGATGGATGGAAGGTTGCGTGGATGAGTTGATCTTTAATTGATCAGAGAAAACAGTGAGAGAACAGATAGACAAATTTCTTCATCCATCCACCAACAGGGCTGGCCTAGTTGGGGGCTCCTTCAAAACCTGCAGTGATCCAGGTATACGAGGGGAAAGTGCCGTCTCTCATTCAGGAAGGAGCCCTAGCCCCACTTCTGCATTCCAAAAAGGGCCAGAAGATCTCTCTTGACTGCATGTCCGGGGCTGGCCCAGCTGTGATGTGGGGGTATTTGAGCGTGAGCAGGAATCCATAGCGGAGATTTGTGCTGGTGGTCTCAGTGCCAGCAAAGAAGAGCGAGAGCACATTGATGATGAGGTTCTGCTGGTGGAACTCACTGTTTTGGTCAGACTTCTCCTGGATCCAGAGGGGTAGGACTCACATCAGAAGAGGCTGGAGCGTCACCCGACACACCTCTCTCAGGGTGCCCTCCACCTGTCTCTAGGTCCCTCCACACCGTCTGGCTCATTTGACTTTTCTCTGTTCTTTCCGGGTCCAACCACATATCTTTGTCTCTCTCAGTCTCTCTTCACTCTGTCTGGCTCTGTTTCAGTCTCTCACTCCATCTCTTTGGTGTATTTGTCTCTCTTCCTCTCTAGCCTCTTTCTGCCTCTGTGTGTCTTTTCACCTGTTGCTGTATTATTGCTCTCTGTCCTGTATTTCCAGTATATCTCTCTCTCTCTCTTCTCTCCTCCCAATTTTCTCCTTCCTTTCATCTCCCCCTCCATTCCCTCCCGCATCTCCCCTCATGTTTCCTAATCTCCCCTCCTCATCCTCTGGTCTTCCTTCCCCCTCTTCACCACACTCTACCCCTTTCCCCCACCTTCTTCTCACCCCCCACATTTCCTCCCTCCCCTCCCTTCCAAATCCCATCTCCCAAACCACACTTTGTCCATGCGGAGCAGGTAAATATCAATGATGTCCCAGGGGTTGCTGGGGTTCAGGGTTTTACGGTGCTCCTCCACACTGCGGGCAATGAAGGCATTGACTTCCTGCAGGTTTTTGTAGACTTGCCTGTGTGTGCCAGGAAAGTGCTTCAGGAAGTCGGGGAAGAGTTCAAACACCTGAGGCAGGAGGTAGAGAAGGGACTGTGAGGTCCTCCTGGGACTGAGAGAGCCGGTCACAGGGAGGGGCAGCCCTGCTGGGCTCTAATACCTCTGAGGGAAATCTCCCTCTCTCTCTCTCTCTCTCTCTCTCTCTCTCTGTATCTGAGTCCCTCGCTCCCTGATTCTATGTCTCCTTGGAACTTTTCTTCTCATATTTTTCTCTTTCTGCATCTTCCTCTCTCATCCTCCTGTCTTTTTGTTGGTCTCTGCCCCACTCTCCGTCTCTCGGTTCCACCTCTCCTTATCTCTGTGTGTCTCCCCTTCTCATCATCTCTCTGGGCTTCTCCTACCCACCTCAGCCAGTTTACCTGTTTTGCTAAAACCTCTCTCTGACTCTTTCCACCTCCTGCATCTCCCTTGCTGTGTCAGGCATTAATAACAGGATGTTTACACAAAATGAGCCTACTGGCGACTTAGGACTGTTTATTTTGTAGCATATTTGTATTATTTTTTCTGATGATAAAAGTAATACCGAACTTCTTGCAAATAGTTTCAAAAAATGCTGAAACATATCGAAGTGAAATTCCTTCTTATCCCTTGCTCTATGGATAACTACTGTTAACTTTTTGGTGGATCTCCGTCCAGACTTTTCTGTCTCCATAGTCCTCTAAAGGAGGAGATAATTGAAACCACCTGTTGGGCTTGCCACACATACTCTCACCCTGGACCCCATTTCAATTTGTAACAGTCCTACTGTGAATCTGACATACCCCTTGTGAAGTACAATAGGCAGGCATACTGTTCTGCCATTTAATTTTTTTTAGTTAATATACAATAGGTGTGTTTCCAGATTAGTCGAGAAAGAGAAACGTTATTATTGTTTTAAAATAGGAGCTTATTCCTTTATAATCTGGGAGACATTTTTAAAAAAGAGAAAGGAGGAGAATAGAGGAAATGAAGAAATGCAGTTTCTTATTTTCATGTATCTTTGAATTTCTTCAAGTGAGGGGCTTTGCCAAGATACAGGCGAAGATTCAGAGGAAGCAGGGACAGAAGAGTAGAGAGCCTGCAAGTCTGATTCATTCTCTCTCTCTCCCTCACACACACACACACACACACACACACACACACACGCACACTCTTTTCAACTCTCTCTCTCTCAGGATCTCTTTGTCTCTGCCCTTCTTTGTCTTGTTTTCTCTCTTTTCCTCCCCTCTTCTCTCCTTTCTCTCCAAGCCCTCATTCCTTATTCTCTCTATTTCTGCCTCTACTTCATTCCTTTTTCTTTCTCTCAGTCTCTCAGTCCCTGTCTCACCGACTGTCCCTCCCTCCAGTTCTCAGTCCCTGTCTCTCCCTGTTGTCTCTGCCCTTCTTCCAGCCCTAAGCTTCATTTCTGGCCCCCAAAGCAGGTCACTCCTTTCCCCTACCCTGGATGCCCCCTCGTCCCCACTGTACCTTAGCCTCTCCCTGACCTGGCTGGAGAAGAAGCTGATGAGGGCAAAGGACTGGTAGAACAAGTCCAGGAGCCGCAGGAACTCAGGATCTTTGTAGGAGAAGCATTTTCCAAAGACAATGGAGCAGATGGTGTTGGCAGTGATGGCGTGGAAGAAGAAGGTGGGGTCCCGGAGGGCTCCTGGGGGGAGGAGGCACAAGTCACCGAACACAGACTCAAAGGCCTGAGCATTTGGCTGCTGCCCCAGCTCTGTGTGACTGTCCTCCATCACTCAGTCATGATGGAGAAAACAGGACCAGGAGCAGCTAACACTCACTAGCCTGTATTACGCCAGTCCTTATTGTAAGCACTTCACGTGTTATTTCATGTAATTCTCACCACAACCCTGTGACGAACATGCAGTTCTATTGTTACCCCCATTTCATAGATGGGCAGACAGAGAGGTTATGTCATTTGACGAGGGTTACCCAGTTACTCAACAGTGGGAACAGGACTCAGACCCAGGCCGCCCAGCTACAGGGCTGTGTGGTTGGTCCCCGCTCAGGCCCCAGCTCTGACTCTGGGAGCAGGGAGAGTTCAGTCCCACAGGGCAGGGGTGGTGCAGAGCAGGTGTTCCATCAATCACATGCGCAGATAAAAAACCTCTGCTCCCCCTATCCCTTATCTCTCACTCCCCCTTCATCTCTTCTCCCCACCTGTCAGGCTCTGGTCTTCGTGAATCATTTTGCACTTGTTAGTTGATGTCTGTGTAGACAGACTTGGCCCAGTTGGAGGGAGGGTGGGCTGTGAGCCCAGGAACGTCAGGTGGGTGCAGCCTCTCTCTCTGGGTCTCACTTGTCCATCTTCTCTTGTTCCCCAGCAGACCCTTTCCTGAGCCTGTCTGTCTGTCTCTCTAATTTTCTCTGCTTCACTTTCTCTCTGACTTTTCTCTTCCTGTGTCTCCGAGCCTCTTTCACTCTCTCGTCTCTGCATGTCTCTCTTGGTCCCTCCATCTCTGTCTCTGTCTCCTTCTCTGTCTCTCTGTGTCACTCTGTTTCTTCCTGTCTTTCTTCTCAGCCCTCTGTCCCTATTCTTCTGTTGCTCCCTGTGTCTCTGCCTCTGCCTGTCCCTCCCAGTCTCCTCGTTTATGTCTTGAAATCTCTTAAGAAATGACCCTGTCACCTTTGTGTCTCATAAACACCCATTTAAGGAGAATCCAAAAACAACCAGAAGTGCTTCTTTGACGGCCCATCCAGCTGTCCGAGAGCAGAATACCCGTCTGCCCTCTTTGCTCACTGCCAGCTCATCAGCAGTTCACCCACAGAAAGGAAAACTCAGTTCATCACTTTCAAAATGTCTGTACTTACCTCTTATCTCTCTCTGCTTTCTTTTCTGTAAGTCCTGTTTTTCCCTTTGATAGATACAATCAATCCATGCATTGGTTTCCCTGAACACAAGTAAACAGCGTGCTAATTTCTTAGTCTATGTCTTTGCGTTGTTCTCGACACTACACACCTACATCTCGTCTGGTCCCTATGTCCATCTTCTGCTCATCCCTGTCTGTCTCCATGCTCCTCGCTCTGTCCCTGTCCCCAAGTCTGATGGTCTCTCAGGCTCTGTCTTTCTCTATCTCCACCTCTCTTTCTCTGCCCACGTCTACCCCTCTGTCTTTCTGTTGCTGTGCACTACACTTCTCTCCTGATTCACTGTCTTTCTTTCCTCCCCGTCCCCCGGGGCTCACCCTTGGTATTTCACAGCTCCTCCAACAGACACTGAGCCTCCTCCTGAATCCGCTCCTCCACACTCCGCTTTCCCATCCCGAAGTCCCTCATGGCGGCCAGAGAGAATCGGCGAAGGGTCCTCCAACGTTCTCCATTGGCAAAGATCACACCTAGGGGTGTAGAAGTTGGAAGAAGACTCTGGGTCCCTCTTGACCACTTATCATCCCTTCCCAGAGTCACCTCCCCAAACCCCATCCTGCCCCTCCTCAGTGTTTCTGAGGTCCTTACCATATCCTTGGACGACTGGGTCAATGACAGCGATTTTCCCCCAGCCAGAGAAGGCCTCAGCTTGGTCCACGAGGGCCTCCCGGATGGCCTCTGTTCCACACAGCATGACCACAGGCCTTGGCCCCAGGTACAGGGTGAAGACATCCCCATATTTCTCTTGGAGCTGCCAAGCATACCCACCCACAGTGTTCTGTTAGTCACTGTGGACATCTATGACCACCCCAGTTGTTAAACCATTGAAAGACTTACATTAGATTGATAATTAGCTGCTGTGCCCGCACCCTCCACCCAGGGACCCAGCAACAGAAGGATTAACCCGTCACCCAGCCAGGGTCTGCATGATTGGTGCCTTCCACAGTACAGACAGTTAAATGCTCCTAATATCACCCTCGCCCGTACCCTTGAGTCTAGCCAGATCTCCCTGGCAATGCAACTAAATAATCATCCTTCTGTGACCCAACTTCAACCTGCTGTCTGCCTCCCGACAATTTTCCCAGAGAAATTGAAGCCCTCTGGGGGGTGATTATGCAATTTGAAAAGTCATCCATCAGTACAGCTGCTTGGGAAACTCCTCACCTGTACTTGCTAAAGCTGAATGCATGTTTACTCAGTGACTTAGCAACTTAACTCTCAGCAAAATGCCCAAGAAAAAAGTGTATGTATGGGCCAGCCCTATGTAGTAGTGGTTAAGTGCACAAGATCCACTTATGCAGCCCAGGGTTCGCAGGTTTGGATCCCAGGCATACACCGACGCACCGCTTGTCAAGCCATGCTGTGGCGGCCTCCCATATAGAGTAGAGAAAGATGGGCACAGACGTTAGCCCAGAGCCAACCTTCCTCAGCAAAAAGAGGAGGATTGGCATCAAGATGTGAGCTCAGGGCTAATTGTCCTGACAAAAAAAAAAAATGTGTATGTGGATTCACCAAAAATATGAAGAAGGAGACTCATAGAAGCCTTATTAATGAAATTTTCATCACAATCAATACAGAATAAAATGTAATGATATATTCATGCCAGGGAATATTATGCGGCAATGAAAAAGAACAAACCACTGCTGAACCTAACAACATGAATGAATTTCAGAGACATAATACTGAGTGAAAGAAACTATACAGAAAAGAGTCCATACGTTATAATTCTATTTATATTATGTTCAATAGCAGATAACACGGACCTATGGTGTCAGGATAGTAAGAGGGGAGAGACTAGAAGGGGATTGTGAGGTGGGTTTCTGGGCACAGGCCGTGTTGTTCCTTATCTGTATGTCATTTACATGAGTATGTTCATTTGAGAAAATTCACTGAGCTGCACACTTATGATTTGTGCACTTTGTAGGATGATGTTAAGCTTCAATAAATAGTTAACTTGAAATCATAAAAAAGTTAAGTTTACTTAAAACATACATTCATATCTGCAAAGCCTCCTCACTGGTCTCCCTACTTTCATTGCTATCCCCCCTACACTCATTTCACTACGCACCCAGCCCACCCTACCCCACCCCACACTGAATCCAAAGCAATCCCATTAAAATGTAAATTAATTAATATCCCTAACTTGCTCCAAAACCTCCAACGTTCCCACTGCACTGAGAATGAGACCTGAAGTCTCCACCACGGACCACACGGCCATATATAAAGCTGCTCCATCACCCCTCTGACTTCTCCTCCCACTCGCCCCTTGAATCACTCAGATCCAGCTTCTGTGTTGTCCCCCAAATATGCTGAGCTTGCCCCCTGTCTCAGAGTTCTTGCATTGACACCTGCCTCTCTCTGATGCCTTCCACCTATATCTGTCAGGGGGTCTGCTCAGAAACTAAGCAAGACTGAGCCTTCCCCTCACCACTCAATCTAAAGTAGCTCCCACCACTTTCTAAAATATCACTCTGCTTTATTTTCATCATAGCTCTTGTCTACCTAATATTTCCTTATTTGTTTATTTTGTATACCCTGTCCAATGCCACATCATCAATGCCTAGAATATTACCCAGCACACAGAAGACGCCCAGTAAATTATTATTGTGTGAGTGAATAAATGAGTGAGCTGGTCGAAGTAGATGCCATTTAACTTACTATCCACCAGGCTTTATGCAATATCAGATTTAATCCTCACAGTAATCTTAAAAGGAATACAGTCTTCTGATCACCATCTCATTTTACGTACGAGGAAGCCAAGAGTAAAAGTTGAGTAACAAGTAAGAGTTGAATATGGAACACGAAACCACATCTTATCTAATTCTGGATGGATTTGGAAGCATATGTGGAAATGGAGGGGGAGTAGAGCCACCATCCTCAACTCATCCCATCATGACACCAACTAGCCCCTGCCCTCTCCCTCCTTCCTCTTTCAAGCTCTCTCTCCCTTCCTCCCTCTCTCAATCTCTTTCTCCCTTTGTCTCTCTCCACAAAGATGCCATAATAATGCAGGATCATGGACACCTTGGGGATCCTTGGAGGGTCTATAGAGGAGATTTAGGGGGTCTGGAACTCTCAAAATATTATGTTAAATGTGTATGGATATTTGTAGGGGAGAGAGCCCACAGCTTCAATCTAATTCACAAAGGATTTAGTGATCCCCCAATTGTTAGGCAGCTTCAGTCTCCGAGGGCATTGGAGATGAAGAGACCTCTGTGCTGGACCCAACTTCCCCTCTGTGAAGTCCCAGCTGTGTGACTGTGCACAAGTGCCCTCCCCAGGCTGAGCTTCCCTGTCCATCCCTCTAAGATGAGGGCAGCACCTCTCCCAGCCCTCTTGCTGTAAATAAGACCTAACGAATTCCCGCACAATACAGATAAACCCTAGCCACCTCATTCTGAGTGAAGAAACTACTTCCAGGAGTTTACACAAAAGCATGGTACCCTTGTGATACATTAAAGACAATGAAAACAAGATATGCACTTGGAGCCTCCACATCTGTGATAAAATGCTCTCTATTCAAAGCAAAGGGATCACAAGCACTAGACTCAGGAGTGTGGTCGCCATGGTAGGGGAAAGTGGACGGAGGATCACAGGGCAGCTGGAAGTTACTGTTAGTGTTCCAAATCTTTTATTGGATAGTGGGTTCATGGGTGTGGATTACATTATTAATAAATAAATAGATCATCAAACATGAAATTATGCCTGGAAAGCAGTGACACAGAGCCTAGTAAATACTCCACAATGTCAACTATTATTATAGTGCATTAATGTTCATTATTGGTAAGAACTCTGTATCTGGTCTCTGTCCTGCGCTCCCACCATCTCCCTATTGTCCTGGCACTGCCATGAGCCAGTCTTTGCTGTCTTTTGTCGGCAGAGGAGAAACTTACTTGATTGGTGCTACTACCCCTTTTTCTCATTCTCCCAGTGGTGAGCAGACACCCAGGAAGGCAAGAGAGGGTGGCGGAGGAAGGTGAATTTCTACACCTGTGTCTCACAGCCAGGACCTCTTCATGCCCACCTGCCTGCTCCAGGGACAGTGTCCACGCACTTCCAACTAGGCAAGGACACCCGTCTGACCACCATCCGCCATGCTTCAGCTCCATGACCCTTACTCACCAACCTTCACACATCCCACCCCTGAGCATGGAAGGATGCCTCCCTCCTTCTGGTGAGTGATTCCCAAGTATGGAGGCAGGGAGCCACCCTCAGACCCAGGCCATCTGCATCTCACCGTCAGGAAGGATTTGAGTAGGCCTCTTCTGTCCATCCGCAGAAGGTTACCCAAGAAATGTAGAGGACAGGGTCCTGGCGGGAGGTGCCCTTGGGCCTTGGGGCAGCCTCTGGCCAAGAGAACCAAGAGTCCTATGAGGAGAGCAAGCAGGAGGAGCACACTGAGCTCCATGGTCCCAGTCAGACTGCCTCCCACCCCACTGCAGCCTGGAACTGGGCCTTTTATCCCGAGCCTGCCTGCCCATCTAGTTATGTAACTTCTTCCATTCCCCACCTCCTCCCTCGTCGTTGTCCAGGAGTGTGAACTTTAAAGGGAGGAGCTAAGGGACCCATACTTCCGGCTCTGGCAGCCTGGTGACCTGCTCACTCCCTACCTCTGCACTCTCTCCCTAGACGTTGGCAGAGATACTGTGGTAGAGATACCAAGGGAGACATGAGTGTTTGTGTGTGCATGTGTGTGTGTGTGTTTATTTTTCTGGGTATGGGTGAGCATGCACTGTCTACTTGTTTTGGCCATGTTTGTATATTTATGTTTGCATGTGTTTGTCTGTGCCTTCTGTGTGTGTGCCTGCATGATTTTCATATGTGAAAGGGTGTTTTATTTCCGTGAACATGATGTGTGCCTCTGTGTATGAGTCTGTGTGTGTTTATGTGCATATTTTTGCATGTATTCATGTAGTTTCATACCTGAAGGTGTGTTTGTATTTGCACAGTGATTGTGGTATACTCTTTGTGTGTGAGTCTGTGTGAGCTTGTGCATTTGTACATCAGCCAGTTCCTGTCATTATAGGGCCTGCAGACCCTCAGTGTCTATCTCTCCAGTCCGCCTTCCTTCATTCTCCCTTCTGTGACAACCACAGATGGGACTGATGGGAGAAACAGAAGGAGGGGAGAGAGACACAGAACTGGTGAGACCCAGAGGTGGAGAGGGTCAGGTGGAGAGAGACAGAGAGACTGAGACCTGGCAGGTGGAGCGTCGGGTCCCCTGGATGCCTGATTGCTCTGACCAGCACCAGGGGGTTCTCTCCCTGCCTCTGGCTCTGTCTTCACAGTGCAGGACTTTTCTCTGACCCTCCCTGACGATCTGCACATGTGTGGCTCTCTCTCCTGCTCTCTCTAGCTCTCTCTCAGTATTTCTTTTTCCCCGTTTAGACTCCGAGCACCAGGAGCTCAGAGACTGGGTGCAGTTTGATTGACATCCCCAGGGCTTGGATCTCTCTCCATCAGGAGTCGGAGCCTGCTCCCATCCAGCCTCTGGAAAGCTCAGGCCATATCTGCTGATTTGTGAATGAATGTGTCCATGTCCACCTGCCATGGCCTGGGCCTGACTTTCTGCCTCTCTCTCTCTCTCTCTTTCTCTCTCTCTCTCTCTCTCTCTCTTTTAAAAGAGAGTGGGGGGAGATGAGGCAGCATCTTTCTTGCAATGTTAGACAAAACTCTTGCTGGACCCAGGATTCTGACTGTAGCAGTTGAGTCATACTCCTTGAACTCAGGAAGAAAGTACCTACAATCCTGACCTCTTGAATTCAGGGGTGGAACCTGTTCTTTCCTGCCCTTGGAAAGGTGCCACCATGGAATTTCTTGAACCTGGATGCTGGCTCCTGCTGTGTGTGTGATCCAGCACTGAGCTTGGGTCCTCATTCCATTCCAGGGAATCACTGGTGGGGTGGGTGAAGTGCTTTACACAGAGTAACTCAATTAGCCTCGCCCTTTGAGGCAGGTATGGTTGTCGTCCCCACTTTATAGATGGGGAGAGTGAAGCACAGAGACATGGGGAGTGTTGCCCAAGGTTACACTGTCGGTTATACCTGCATGTCCAATATGGTAGCCACTTGCCACATGTGGCTATGAAGCACTTGAAATATGGCTAGTAAGACTAATTAAAACAAGAATTTAATTTTAATTAGAAAATTTTTACTCAATTCAATTATTGGAAAACTTCCAAGTACATTTGGAACAACTCAGGTATGTCAATCTCCTTTTTCAATTGTAACTTTCTTGAAATACGGATCAACTATTTCTGAAAAGAATTTAGGGTCCCAGTTAAGATGCACTAAAAGTGCAAAATAGACACCAAATTCAAAGACCTATAATGAAAAAAAGATATGATGAGAGGAGGATGTAAAAACAGAAAGAAACCCAGAGACAGGGAGCGACCAAGAAATAGATAAGAGAGATAATACAGAGATGGAGGCAGACGAAGGGAAGGTGCAAGAGAGATGGAGAGAGAGGATAGGAGAGGAAGAGAGGCAGAGATACAAATACACAGGGATAGGGGGCCTGTCGCAGGTGAGGAACAGGGTTGGCATCTATGAAAGAGCTTGTTTTTATATGTGAGTGTGTGTTTGTATTATTAATCATTTTTAAATGCTTTGCTGAGGTATCAATTGACATACAATTAAATGCATACATTTAAAGTGTACAATCTGATCAATTCTGGCATATTGCACAGCTGTGAAACCATCAACACAACAAGATAATGAACATATCCATCACCCAAAGTTTCCTCGTGCCCTTCTGTAACTCTTCCCTTCCCTCATTTCCAACCCCCTCCCCAGGCAACTACTGATCTGCTGTTTGTCCTTAGAGATTAGCTGTACTTTCTAAACTTCATATAAATGGAGTCATATGGAATGTCCCCTTTTGTGTCTGCCTTCTTTGACTCAGTATAATTATTTTGATGTCTTGGTAGCCTAAATGATGGTCTCCCAAAAATGCCCACGTGCTAATCCCTGTAACCTGTGTGTATGACCTTACATGGTAAAAGAAATTTTGTAAATGGGATTAAATTAAGGTTCATCAAATGGGGAGATTATCCACGTAGGCCAAGGATGTAATCACAAGGATCCTTATAAGAAAAAGCCAAGAAGGTCAAAGTGAGCTGTAGGAGAGGTGATGATGGGAAGTCAGAGGTTGGAATGATGTTCAGGGGCCCCGAGGCAAGGAAAGCAACTTCCAGAAGGAATACATCCCTGCCAACACCTTGACTTTAGCCCAGTGAGATTGATTTTGGATTTTCATCTCCAGCACTGTACAAGAATAAATTGTGCTGTTTTATGCTGCTAAGTTTGCAGTGATTTCTTAGAGCAGTACTAAGAGACTAATGTAAGGTTCCTTCATGTTGCAGATGCCAGTTGTTCATTCCTTTTCACTACTGAGAGTATTCCATTGTATGGATACTCTGCTGTTTGGTTACCCATGGATGTGTTGATGGACATTTGTGTTGTTTCCAGTTTGGTGCTATTACAAATCTAGCTGCTTGTGAATATTTGCATACAGGTGTTTGTAGGTACACACATTTTCATTTCTCTTGAGTTAATACCTGTTTGAGGACTGGTTGGGTCATATGATAGGTATCTACATTTTATAAGAAACTGCCAACCTCTTTTACAAAGCGCTTGTAAGATTTGACATTCCCACCAGCAGAGTGTGAGACTTCCAGTTGCTCCACATCCTTGCCAACACTTGGTACGGTCAGTCCATTTAATTTCAGCCATTCTGATAGGTGTGTAGTGGGACCTTATTGTAATTTTAATTTGAATTTCCATAATGACTAATGGTGCTGAACATCTTTTGGTGGGCTGATTTGTCATATGTATGTCATCTTTGCTGAAGAGTCCAGTCAAATCTTTTGTCCATTTTTTAAATTGGGTTCTTTGTTTTCTTACTATTAAGTGTTGAAAGTTCTTTATCCACTCTGAATACAAGGCCTTTGTCAGATTGGTGATTTGTAAATATTTTCTCCTAAACTCTAGCTTGTCTACTTGTTCTCTTAACAGTTTCTTTTGAGGAGCAAATATTTTTAATTCTGATGAAGTTCAACCTATCATGGTTTTTATGGATTGCACTTTTAGTGTCATATCTCAAAAACGTTGCCCAACACAAGATCACAAAGATTTGATCCTATGTCTTTTCCAGGAAGTTTTAGAGTTTGAGGTTTTACATTTAGGTCTATGATCCATTTCTAGTCAATTTTTGCATGAGGTGACAGCTATGGATCAAAGTTCCTTTTTTGGCATATGAATACCCAATTTTTACAGCACTATTTGTTGAAAGTATTGTTTCTCCACTGAATTTCCTCTGCCCCTTGTCAAAAATCAGATGAACATATATGTGGGTGTCAATTTCTGGACTCTCTGTTCTTCTATTTATCATTTGTTAATCTTGACCCCAACACCAAACTGTCTTGATTAATGTAGACTTACATTTCCTAAGATCTGATGTTGCAGTCCTTCAACAATGGTCTTCTTTTTCAAAGGTGTGTTATTTGAAGTGTTTTGCATCTATATCTGTATTTTAGAATCAGTTTGTTAATTTCTACAAGGAAAAATAAAGCCTACTGGGATTTTGACTGGCATTGTGCTGAATTGATAGGGAGTTGACATCTTACCCATATGAGTCTTCTGACCTATGAAGACAGTACAAGTCTCCATTGATTTAGGTCTTTGTGGTAGGTAGAATAATGGCTGCCCCAAAGATGTCCACATCCTAATTCTCATAACCTGTGAATATTTTAGGTTAGAAGGCAAAGGAGAATTATCCTTGCAGGTGGACTTAAGGGTATAATCAGCTGAATTTAACATAGGGACAGTATTCTGGATTATCCAGGTGGATGCAATGTAATCATGAGGGTCCTTAAAAGTAAGTGGAAAAGGGAGGCAGAAGAGAAGGATCAGAGGGAGATTTGACTACAGAAGAAGGATCAGAGAGATACGTTATTGCTGACTCTAACATGGAAGAAGGGGCACAACCCGAGGAATAAAGACAGCCTCTAGAAGCTGGAAAAAGTCAAGGAAACAGATTCTCCTTTAGAATTTCCAAAAAGGAACACAATCCTGCTGACACCTTGATTTTAGCACAGTGAGACGTATATTGAACTTCTGACCTACAGAACTAAAGATCATAAGTTTGTGTTGTTTTAAATCACTAAATTTGTGTTAATTTGTTACAGCAGCAATAGAAAACTGATAGAATCTTCTTTAATTTCTCAATATATGGTAGCTCTCTGTGTACAGGTCTTTCACGTATTTTGTCATATTCATTCCTAAGTATTTCATACTATTTGTGATATAGTAAATATTCTTTGAAGATTTCTATCTCTGATTGGTCATTGCTTGTATATAGAAATACATTTGATTTTTTATGTTGGTCTTGTATCCTGCAACCTTGCTAAACTCGCTTATTAAAT